GTTTGGGAACAACAAAGGCCAAGTTCCGGTAACTGTTAAAAGAGAGGTTGAACTAATTAGGTGCCATCAAGGTGTTCATATTGAGAAATAATGTATCATATATGTGTTGTGTTCACAATGTTTCATTTTTTCTTGTTCCTTACAGTCATTTTATATTTATGTAACTTTGAACCATACATAGTCTTCTTCATACTAATTTATTATTATGGATTATTTAGCAGATAAATTGTTTAAGTTTTTATTAAATTACTATGAAGCCAATTTCTCATCCGATTTGTCACTTACCTATGTATTCTACCATTTTAATTTTCGAACTGCCAATAGAGGTGCTTGTCTTTTATGGCTGACATTGAAATGTTACAAAAATTTCATTTATATAAAAAATATACATTAGCTTCGAGCATAACTGATGTAATATATGTTATTGAATGGAAAAGTGTATAACATAATCATTTTTTCACCCTTCACAAAACAAGTAGATTCTGAACATAAACATGCTCTGGCCCAGACTAATTCTTAATGTTTCAAGTGTTATCCAACCACATCTTAAGCATTGTCTAAATCATAGACAATACGCAGCTATGGATAAAGGTCGTGAAATATTTCTTCTTGTATTTGTGTTCACATAATATTAAATAACGCTTTACTTAATTTGTTACAGGAGTTAAGGAATTCAAAATAAAAGGTGTTCAGATAATCTTATTTCGTGATGGTCAACTTAGTTATTCAGAAGTAAGTACCCTCATACTGATCTTATTGTACCACTCTCTGCTTTGTGGAAAAACACAAAACAACTAATCAACTATTTCTCCGTTTCTCGGTGTTAATTTCCTATTGAACGCATTTTAATTAATTGAACACAGATTAGTTAGCATAAATCAGTTAAATGGCGAAAAATTAGGTGTCTATTTACTTGTGACCACTCAGTGTACACTTCATAGCCATTACTACGCCAGGGGTTGAACTTCTAGTTACAATAAGGAGGGTGGTAAATATACAACCAAGAAATGAAATACACATATCAAGAGTTATTAGGAATAAATATCAATCTAATGATTGGGACATGGTGGAACCAAACACTCCAGAATGTCCTAAGATACTATCGATTGAAAAATTCTCGTGAATCTTAAGCATAATTATTTCACACACGACTTTACCAAGGAAAGACTTAAATCAGCATTGGATAAAAGGAAAAGTCGCTGTGATGTTAATACTAATAAGACTGGTTTTTATTAAGGTGACATGGCAGCTGAACAATTCCTGTCACAAGAAAGGATGAACTCCAAAGTTAAGTAAGTGTTGGGAAGGACCATACATTGTAATAAAAAGAGTCAATGATGTGGTATACAGAATTCATAAATCCAGGCAGTCCAAAACAAGGGTCCACTTCATCATCATCAACTTCTTTAGTCACTTTGACTTGCTTTATCCACGAAATT